TGAACCATTTTAAACAGGCAACAGTTTAAATAATGATGTCATAAATCTCTAAATTTCTAGTGTAGAGATCTAATTTCTGCTCTTGTATGTAAAGTGGTATAATATTGACCATCTATGTTTCACTATTGGATGGTCGACAGTGTTTTTCTGACTCTATGCCCTAAAATTAAACTTACGTCTTCTGTTCTTCAGTGATTGTTTTTCTCACATTATTACTTTTTCTCAGTGCAGTCATCTTTTTACATGACTGCAGTGTATTTTCAAACTCAGAGACCAATGACTGATAATGATGACCTGCACTAGAATGCATACACTGAACAAAGATACAAAATGCAACATGTTTGCTTTTGCTCCCGTTTTGTCATGAGCTGAACTCAAAGACTCTTTATACAAACACATTTATATATCCTCTATTGCTATAAATACCTGTCTAAATCTGTGAGTGAGCACTTTTGTTTTGCAGAGTTAATCCGTCCCACTTAACACGTGTTGCATACCGAGTAGCTGATTAGACAGCATGGTAATTGCACAGGTGTGCCTGAGGCCGTCCATAACAGAAGGCCAACCCATCCGTATCCGGGGTGAGCACCATTTGCCTCTTGCATTGTAACCCATCTCCTTGGCGCTGGAGGGCCCTGGCCCAGTGCAAAAAGGCCTAATGGGTCTGAGCATCTCATCCAGCTATGTAATGATAGCCGTCAGGTTACCTCTGGCTTTCGCCCAGGGAGGCTGTGTAGCCCTCCAAATAAAAATAAAAAATAAAAAAAATCCCCAAACAGTTTCTGACCCATCGCCAAACCGGTCATTCTGGAGGCAGCGTAACTTTCTCAATGGAGTCTCTAGACTTTGGCACATCTATCGGATCTGCTCAGTATGAGCCTGTTTTAATCTTTAAAGAGCACAAGATGCCAATGGTGAATCCAGGTGTTCTCTGGAAAATGCCGCATGATGTTTGTCTTACAGTCCCCAGTCATAGACGTGAGGCCCTCATACTGTTTCTGACAGTTGAAGCAGATTAGACACTAGCGGTCTGATGGTATGAGGAGGCAGCAGCTCTGCTACTGCCCTTTGGTTCTTTTACGGCACTGCCGTACCGAGGTGTCTCCTGGCATCTCCTTCATGCCCTGGGCATGGTGCTGACAGACATAGCAAACCTTTTCGCTACAGCTAGCATTGAAGCGCCATCCTGGATGAGCTACACGAGCAAAGCAACTTCTGTGGGTTGTAGACTCCATCTCATGACGTCTCTAGGGGTGACGGTATGGACAACATGCAAAAGTGACCAAAACAATAGTCAAAGGTTGAGAATGGTGAAATTGTCTGTTCTTGGAGTTATCAAGTTATTACAGAGTTGAATTTAGTTGTTCTCTTTATTCTTTGAGAAATGTATGTAGGTGATCAGTTGAACTCGGGGGCAAGGCCAGTGACGCACGTCCAGCATGTCATTTTCATAACTTTATACTGAATCGTGTAACTGACTGGTACAACAAGCCAAGTGGCAGAATTGACCAAATCTTAAGCCTATAATTGCTGCAGCATTCTGAACTAGCTGGAGATGGTCTATGGATGCTGTATTAAGATCCACAGAGAATTGCAATGACTGAAACATTTAAAACAACTTCTAGCCTAGAATGTGCGATCACAGTTATGAGCTTGGGAGTATGTAAGGTGAAAAAGTGAGAAAAAAAACAAAAACAAAACACTAACAGCATCTTCATTAACGTTTTAATATAGTAATGAAGTTGCATAGCTTGATCCAAAATGAAAATTAGTCATCTTTGAAGAAAGCTACAAAAGAAATGGAAATAATTTACATAATTGTATACCAACTCAGAACAACAAACGTTTGGTCTGATTTAGCTTCAAACGGTGAGAAAAAAATATGTATGTCTTTTCATGCGGCATATATGACAGTTGTCTAACAGAATATAACTGAATAGCAGAGCTAGCATTACTACAATTGTAGCCCATTTTCTCCGGAGAACGTAGATCTTTGCCTTAACTCTGACATTCCCAAAAGGTCCATCATCCTAATGTGTTCAAAAACAAAAGCAGAAAGTTTAAAAGACTAAAAAAAATCCTATTAAATACACTTTCAATTCAGTTATCAACTGAAAGTCTTGTCCTCACCTGCTCCCTCAAAACCTTTCAAATCCTTTACAAATTTTACATCTGTGATTTCTCTGACTTCAGATAAATATTGACCGATACTGAAAGTGGCCAATTTTGTGTAATTGTCATTCAGCAGCAGCAGCATCCACTCAAATGAATGTCGTCTTCTCCAACCTGAATATGCAACATTCAGTGAAAGGCTAGCTGACTATCGGCGGCTAGCTAACAAGCTAGCCAAGGGTAAGACTATCCAGTTCTGGGCAACAAGGTGATTTCTCTGTGCATTTTCACCACATTGTTTTATTATTACAGAACAGAAAAACAACATAATGAAATCAAGTGAATGCAAAGGTTTTTTTTCTACCACACTCTAGATTTATTTTTTCTTATAAAAACACACACAAGCTGCATACCAATGGCCAGGATATTTTCAAATTTTGATGATTTCTTCTCTCTTTATGTGGGGTAATATGAGCCTTTTGTGAATACATTTACCCATGCTGATAAGCCTTCCCTGGCATTTATGAAGCTGTGCTTTGGTGATCACAGGCTTCTTTTGTTGTGTGTGTGTGTCTGGCTGAAGAGCCCTGTAGAAAAGGGAGCAGGGGTTGAGAAGCAGAGCACTATAAATGCTTAATTTTCTCACGCCTTTCATGATCTCGAGCCTCGTCGCAGGCCCGCGCCGCAACCCCTTGTTGCGCCGCGCTTGATGCTACTGTTCGTCAGTGGGGAGCCAGCGATTTATGCGTAGACGACATGGAAAAACATCAAAAATCGAAAGAGATGACGGCCGAACAAATGCCAATGAGACAAAGCATAAAGAGGAGGAAAAGTGATATGTATAAACCTCCCTTCTTCCTTGTGAAGTGAGAGCTCCAGTGATGTATAGCCCTGGCAATGGAAAGTTAATTAGATAACTCTTGGAAAGATGAAGGCCTGAGAGGCTCAGATGGAGTGGATGAGAAAGAGAGGTTGACAAAATCATGCAGAAAGGAATGATTTCTATAGACTCCAAGAAGAGAAGAGAGAGAGAAAAATGAGTCGGGTTAGAGAATTTGGAAAGTTGGAAGGGGAAAAAAAAGGTACTGGAGAAGACAAAAGCAAAGATAATTCAGCAGGGAGAGAAATGTGCAGAGGTAAATAAGTTTTTAAACATGTTTTCTGCTTTAGAACCTATGCAGTTGTTACGGTGCACATTTCAAAATGCTATAAAAGTTTAAAACACCTGGGACACCGTAGCCTATAAGGTAGTCTGAATCCGTCTTTATACAGGGTTTCTTTTAATAGCAGGGCTGAAGCAAAACTATAAATGTAGATAATAATGCTTTAAAACCTTTTCCATGCTGAAATATATTAGAGAAGACTAAATAAAACTCACCAGGGCAATTAAATATTGTCACATTTTAAGTGTTAGTGGTGGGTTTTCTAGCGCAGCTGCAGAAGAAACATGATGCAGAACCAGTAGCAGGTCAGGGTGATGGGCAACCATCCAGAGACAAGCAGGTGTGGATGGATATTAATGCACTACATGATTTCTAGTCAGAAGTAACTTTGGACTCAAGTTTATGTTTGTCAATCTAAACCTTTTTAAGGTCATGCAAAGCAGCTGATGGAGAGAAAAGGGCTCGAATTAGATGTTGATGTTTTACACACTTTGTAGAAATGAGACAGGTGAGGTGGGAGTCAATAACGACAACAACAAAAACACTTTTTCCACATCTCACGGGTCATGTCACCAACAACTGGAAAAGATGAAGATGACAGGAAGTGGTAGGAAGGAATGTTTAATCGTGAACAAAATTATTCATGAGTGATTTTAATTGCGTTTTTTTATTTAATTGCAAAATTGTGCTTTTCTCACAAATTTACGGAACAGCAACACGATTTTGCACACATTTGAGATGGAAATAAAATTAGTGTAGCAGTAGGACAGTGCAACAAAAACACGTTGGCAAAAGTCAGTCCACAGTAGCTGAGAAACAGAAAAGTATGCATTTTTCTAAAAATATTTAAAGACAGTGTATGTACTCTATGAGTTCAGACACTCTACAAATGCCCAGCATATGAAGGAAACCCTTTGTAAATTCTGCAGTAAAGGCAGGTTTCTTTGACATTTAACATGTGGAAGTCTTGACTCTACTCAGATTATATCTGACGACCGGCTTTGAAACGCCTCACGGATGGATGGATGAAGACTTGAGTGTTTTCCGCTACTGCATTAGTGTGTGTATAAGAATTTGTGTGTGTGCTGGCTGTAAGAAAAAAAAGGAAAAGTTTGTGTGTGACTGACAATGACAGTGCGTGCAACTTGAGGGGGGGGGGGGGGCCATTTTTCTTTTAATTTCAAATTTAATGACACACTATGTTCCAGTGGACAAGCAATATGGCAGGCTGACACACACATACACTCACACACTTATGAAAACGCATAGGGATAATGGCAAAGTCTGCTTTGGCGCTCACAAAAAGTGGCAGGCTGCTATGCGACGAGCTTGACAGTGAGATAACAGGCTAACAATGACACACACACACACAAACACACACAGCAGCTACAACTGACAGGGAACCTCATCAAACCAACTTTAATGAAGTCACTTCTCCCAAATTGAAGAGAGCAAGAAAGCAGTGATGAGAGGAGGAGGGGAGGGAAGGAGGACAAGGTCACTTGGATTGATAACGCTCATTAGCTTAATAAGGTACTTTAATGAAGCTGGTCCGCTACAATAGAGTGCAACACAATCTACTGCCCACACACACGGTAGCACAAACATTTTCATATTTTCCTACATTTTCAACTTACAACACTGCTGCTGTGAGCGTTTGAGCTGTATAGTTTTATTGCAGAAGACCTCATCCGCCCTGCATGCATCCAAAACAAACAGACTGACCTCTCCGTCTGAGGACTGCAAGAGAAGGTCTTTCCTACAGGAAGCCGTGAAGTCTCCCACTCCAGCACTGACCTCCACCCCTCTGGGAGCTTCTAGCGTCAAGGTCCGAGTTGGGGACTCTAGTCTGTAAAAATCAACAAACAGATTTTAGTCACACTAGAAGCAGAATGAACCTTCGTTGTCGCCGCACATAATTGCAGAGACAAGGATAAATTACACAAGTTTGCACAAACACACACTTTTCTTCTTGGAAAGCAAAGATGCTTCTGAACTGGTGACTTATGAACGTAGCAGTTGTACACCGTGACTTTTAAAAACATACTCATAGTCACTTTTAACTTTTTTTAATAATTTTCTTACATGACTGAGTTAAACACAAACGTGCTAGACCAACAGAAATTAGTGTATGAGTGTCAAATTTAAGGGAGATGAATAATTGACAACATTGTTCCTTTAAAGAAACGCTAGATCAGCCAGACTGGACAAAAAAAAAATATATATATATATATATATATATGAAAAGTCTTACTATATATTTTGTATTGAATTTAGTCCAGTTTGGACTAACGCAAACATACCAACACACCAAATACACCGGTGGACCAGTACAGCTAAGAAAAGGATGATGCATAAAAGTGCAATATTCCCTGCCAGTCATTCAAGAAAGTGAAACAATTTATAGAAAGTATACAAAGTAAAAAAGTTCAAGCTTTTTATTGTTTGCAACTTAAAAATGATTAAGGTAAACCCAAAATTCAGTGTCTCAAAGTTAGAATATCACATTAAAGCAATCAAAAACAGATGTACACACAAATGTCAGGCACTTGAAAACTAGTTACATTTCTATAAACTCAATACTTGGTTGAACCTGCTTTTGCATCAACTATTGCATCAATATGGTGAGATCAGCCTGCAAAGGTGTACTGAAAGTCCAGGCTGCTCTGATGGCCGTCTTCAGGTCATCTGGAGTCTCTTATCTCCCTCTTGACGACAGCCAATAGATTTTCTTTGGGGTTCAGGTCGGAGGAGTTTGCTGGCCAATCACAAACAGGAACACTGCAGCCACTGAAGCAGCTTTCAGAAAGCTGTGGGCAGATGACAGAAGTCCTGCTGGAAAATTAAACTCTCCGTATTACACTTGTGATTTCCACATCCTCCTCTTATGATTTTGTTTTCTTACAACAAAAAGCATCATGTGTGGCTGAACCATTCAGACAAATAAAATGAGATTGTGGTGTGGTGAGGCAAGATCAGGTAAAATGTCCATGTCCTTAATGGGCACTTGCATTTACACACTGTGGTCTCACAACATGCAAAACAGAACAGGTACAGCTAATATTTCACAAAGGATAATTTAGAAAAATGCAAAAAAAAAAAAAAAAAAAAAAAAAAATTAAAATTTAAAAAAAAAATTTCT